GCCTGTTGAGATGCATGATGCAATGGTAGTCAAGGCAACAACGAGCTTACTAATCACATTTCTCAAATATAACTTTCTGACTGATGCATGAGGAAAGAAGCGAAATTGACGAGGAGGAGGTCAACCTGAAGATGCCTTCTTGCACAAGCTTATCCGGCATTTGATGATGGTGGCTTCGGGGGACCAACAGTCTTCCTTTTGCATTTGTAGGCTTGTCTGACTGTGAATTGGGGCTTCGCAATTGGCTCATCCACAGTCGAGTTGTGACGATTTCTTTTGCCGGACAATCTCAGAATCCGCCTCAGGCCGATGCCACGTAACGAACGCGAACGGGAACCCGTTTGGCGCCAGACTCTTCTGTCCACCAGACAGCTCTGCCAAGCAGAGGAGAGAAGTACAGACGGCCAAATAGACGGCCATCACTTCGAGTGCAAGCGTACAAACTACGCAGAATCAAATCGGTCTGTAGCTCTTCACAGGAGGTGACGAGCTTTTTGATACCAATCGTCTTGGCAACCGTTAAGACGCAATGGTCATTTCAGCATCTGCGTGGAGCTGACGACACGTATGGGCGACAAACACACCCCACAACGGCCGGTAGACACGAGACGAGCCGCCTGGTTTGTGATGGACAATCTGTTTTCGCCGTCAACGCAGAGCATCTCGCCGGCGACCGTTCAACTGCCGGTGCTGTGCTGGAATCTGCTGAATCCGGTGGGCCGGATTCGAAGCGCTCGCTACGACAATTTTTAGGTTTTGACCCAGCTCGACTGTTGTGTGACGATGACACGAGTGGAAATGAGGCGCGAAATTCCTGTCCTATGGCTCCCAACTGAATAAAGCCTGCAGCTCCACTTTTGCCTTTTAGCCCTCGAGGAATGGACAGAGTTGAGGTTGGGATATGACAGTCACGTTGCTAAGCTAAACAATAGAAACAATTAATAGATTTGGGTTGAACTCATCTTCGCAATTTGTTCTTGTTGTCAGGGCGATTTAGTAGAACGTACCTAGTCCGAAGTCGTCTGCCAGAGTAGTTGTCATGATTTCCAGCATCAGAGCGTGGACTTGGTACATTCTCAACCGTTTCGCCGGCATCAAGCTACGAACTCGTCAAAGCGACAAGTGACGTCAACCACTTGACAAACGTTCTGCCGAAAACGGTTACACCCTCACTCCTCTTTCTGTCCTGGCCGTACCAGCGGTCACAACATCTTGGTCTTCATATCTTCAATAAAAGCGATGATGCTGACAATGACGATGATAATATTGATGCCGATGCCGACGAAAGTGATGCTTAATTGACTTCTTGTTGCCAAGGCGTACTGATCGGCTAAACGGCAATCAGATAGGCTTAAGAAGACCTTGGGACAGTTTGAGGCTCATGAGTCTTCGCTACCAATAGGTGACAATCTCTCGGATGGTCCAACCGAGAGAAAGAGAAAAATAGAGCGAGAGAGCATGAAATAGCCACCTTTACCAGAACATGCATCGGGAATATGGGTTTGCCATGCCGACCTGATATGTTGGGCGGAAAGAGACTCGCTAATCCTGACCCGACCGACGGACTCTTTTTCATGCCAACCTTCGAGTTGAATGCCGCCTCTTTGAGTGGTACGAGCCTGTTTGTCTACCTTAAATTTGAGTAAATGTACCACTTTTAGTCAAAGTTCCAATTAAATACTAGTATTTAGGAAGACCTTTTGGTCCTTCAAGATCGGTACTTCTGATGTCACTGACTTTATGCTCGAGAAGGAGAGAAAACTATCAGAAGTGACCTGAGGCCGATTATTTAAGCGACTGAAATTGTTTAAAGATGGCCTTTTTTCCCTTTTCACAACCAGCTTCCGAGAACTTCTCTTTTAGAAGAAAACTCTGTATTCTTCGCTGAACATATTGAAGGACGGTCTCCAATTGAAGTCTCATGTTCTCCGGTTTTTGCCCAAGATTTCGTTATTCACATACTTTTTAATGTTTGCTATGGCTCAGATCAGGCCTTCCACCAGAATATGGAATTTGATGTTGCCTCAAGAATAAGGTACAGTAGCCAATGACATTTCCGTTTGCAAATTATGCTATGGCTATTGTTTAACGTAAAATCAGAATATCCATACAAATTACCAGACTAGGAAACACATTAAATGTTAATAAAAGGAGTTTCGGGACTAGATAGGACAAGGAGGGTGCTTGAAAGCTCTACTGAAAGAAGGCGTATTAATTAATATATTTTCACCTTAAGCTGTCTTCGAGAATGTAATTATTTTTTGGAATAAAATCCCGAAGCCTACTTACATCCAAAATGAGTAAGCCGTTGTCCGGTCTTAAGTTTGGTCAAACGCACCCATGCAAGACAAACATACACAAAATACATATACTAAAATAGCATGAAAATAAACCGTGATTCTCGAGAGCTAATTACTTAATCGAATTCAACACAATAGTGAAGGCATGATAGGAAGATACCGGAAACGCGAATAATCCAGGCCAGAAGGGGAGATACCACAATTGTTTAGCACAAGTTTGGTCAAAGGATCGGCTTCACTTGTCGCTTTGACGAGTTGTTGTGCGGTGCAAAGAATGACAAGATTTATTGACGATGCCGACTACGATGCCTGCGAAACGTTTGGGAATGTACCACGTCCACGGTTCAACTTTGGAAATGAGCATGCAGACAATGGACCCCG